CACTGAAATTTTAATTTTGCGCGAAGGTGTTAAATCAGCAGTTATTTTTGGAATTACTAAAAAGTCCAAATTCTTATAAAAGTTCCTTCTTTATTGCATATCGAAGCATTATTTTATGCTTTATTGTTAAAGTAGCATCATCTATTCCCGAAACGGAAAATGTTTGTTTTTTCTTTTCTCTCTAACTGCAAGCAAATGCTCAATAAGATTCCGTGTCAAAAAAGTTCGACATACTGCCCCCGTCCAGCAAACACTTCACTGTTGTTTTTCCCCTCGTTATCAATTAGAAAACATACGACTGTTTGAAAGCAGAACTGTACTCTGTTTATTCGAATAATTGCTAATAAATGCCTTTTGAACGAACTCCTGCGCATTAAACATTGAAGGTCGATGAGGTCGTATCATTGTTTGGGAAACTTTGCAGTCAGATACATTTGTTTTGTTTTTATTTTGTTCCGATGAAGAACATTCTTTCTCCTTTACGATATTATTTGCTTTCGGAAAGTGAATAGTTTTGTGGTGCCGTTTTTGACAAAAACAAGAATATTTCGATGGGCAATTTGATACTGAATGCATATGTAGACAGTTAAAAACATAATTTATTAGATTTCACAACCTGTACTCTTTCTTGTAACCGGTAATTTTAAATACGTTGGGCATTTTTGCCAATCCGTGATTCTCGTGGCATAAATACAGTTCTCTGTTTTAACATCTGATAAAAACACTTTAGCTACAATTTTTGAGCTATTATACTTACGATTAACATGAGAATTCTCAGTAAGAGGTTTTCCTCGTGACGTGAAATATAAATCTATTCTTTACCTAACTCACTAGGTGAAAACCATGAATCACCTTGCCTCACTGCAATGTGAGAAGCTGTTCCCGTATCTAAAGATTGGTATAACCTATCTGAAACTATTAGTTTGTTTGAGGGTCTCGAAGTCAGTTACCTTCATTAATTTTAAATAATAATCCCATGCAGTTACTAAGCGTGAAGCAAACTGCACATGAGTTTCATGTGGTTGTTTAAACAGTTTTTCTAAAGTTTTCTAAACACGAATATGGTGTTGGCTGAAACTCCTTCAGAACTACTTCTTTTACTTTTTCATAATTCGCGATATCCTTATCATGTAAATAGGTTATTATATTCGAAGCTTTGTCTCCTAACAGATTTAGAACAGAATTTCTGCTTTATAGTCCTCCGAAACATTTTTTGTAATAAACGCTCGTTCTAATGACGAAAAGAAAAATCCCCAACTCTCAGGCCGTATAGGAATTTTTACAGTTAAGGTTCTGATACTTTTTATTAATTGATCTAGTGGCTCTGATTTTGTTTCGGTTTCGCTTGCACCATCAAGTTTAGTTGTTTCTGCTTTAAGCTTAGCCAACTCTAACTCATTCTTTGATCTCTCAAGTTTTATTTTTTCTAACTCGACAAGTTTTTGCTCTTCCTGTTTTCTATTTTCGATAATAGAGTTTGCTATATCTCTTTTACTGAATCTTGCTTAGTTTTGAAAATTTCACTATTCTCAATAATATCAGACAAATCTGCTATAGTCATTTTTTTTCGTCAACATTTAGATTTATTTCTAAGGCAATAAGCCTTAAATCTTCTTTTTTAGCACCCTTAAATAACATTGTTATTTATAACAGAACAAGCACAGAAAGTACAGAATTAACAAGAGAGGAATCACTTACCTCTGCAGTGATTCACTTTTGATGAATATCCGTATCCAAAATCAGCGATATTCGTTGAAAAGAACAAGCTGCGAATACTGGCAAACACAAACACTCCTGTGTTCTCAAAAACGAAACACTAGTTATTCATGCACAAACTCACACTCCGATCCACTACGACCAGATATGTTTGGGTCTCGTCCCAAATAACACACACTAAATAAATTCGCTGGTTCGATTCTTTATTAATTCTCATAATTAATTACAATTAACTCATAGCTGTGACCAGCCCTCTTACACCGTCGATGGCGATTCTCAAACTCGTTTGATCATCACATACAGATGCGCATGCGTGGATTGCATTACAGATGCGCAGGCGCGAACATGCGTCATGCACCTTCCATCTGTGAATCAAATCTTCCATGCGCTAAAAGATGGGAGGCCTACATCATGGTCCGGGGCCAACCTTCTTTAACGACGACCGCTGTCTGTTTTTATTTTTATTTATTGATTTCTGTTGCACTAAACATAATAAAACATGTTTTGTCACTCTGGTTATTGTCCTTCGTTTCTTGTTTTCTGTCATCACTTTCGCGCCAAGAAAGCATTTGCAACCAAGCATTGCTATGTGATTTTCTATCGTCAATTACTCTATCCATCTCGAAAGTTTGTAACCGATTTGCTGAAACACCCTGAAGAACTTTTCATTTTTTGTGGAGTGTATATTGTGCACTCATTGTTCTACAGAATCTATTCTTTCTTTAGAACTCAGTAATTTGTAAACGAATGCAAGTGACAGAATTTTTTCGTGGTCATTGAAAAGGCCTCTGAAAGACTTTTCTTTTGCCTGTTTAAAAGACATTCTGCTGTTAAAAAGAATCACGTAAGTCTCATCATGCCATTTCAGCATTCTATCAAGTTACGAGTAGCTCATATATGCAATTTATAACGTAAAAAATTGCATCTTCAGTTGTAATGTAACTTCCTAGATTATATCACACGATATTGTAAAATTTCATTTATAAAGCAAGAGCAAATTGTGTATTAGAATGCCGCTGGTTTCTGGACAAAGTAACTGCGCTCTAGGTAATGCATAAGCTCATTTATCTTTATGTTAATATGTAAGACAATCTTTAGCCTCTCAGTGCTTTTGCTTTGTTGTTTTTATCTTTTGAAGTGTCCTTAGTGTTTCAACAATACTACTCAAAATATTTTAAATTCTTTCCTGCACTATGATAGAAATGTTGCATGTAATGTTGTGCGGGTACTTTTCCGTTTTGCCGGCGCAAACGATAAAGTCGCCAATATTGGTTTAACTGATGCCAGACGGAATATCTTCGCTGGTAACCTTTTACGCCTCAGTTTCAAAACAAGTTGAAGCCATTTCTTATCAGATTGTTTCTTTCAATACTGGCATACAATAATATAGACTTTTTACACGATATTTAAATATTATCCGCTAAGACAATTCACGGTAATTAAGTCAATTAGAACGCAATTACACCGCTCATCCAAGGCGAAATCAAGTGTTAAATTCATCAATTCTAATGAGAATGCACTAGCGAAGTAAAGCACTGCGGTTTTACATAATTTCTGAGTAAGCTATTCGTACGAATTGAAATAATTCTTGCATTTAAACTTGTATTCCAAATTAAGATTTAACTTAAAATTAATGTAGATAATTACTGAGAGAATTAGATTTTAGTAGCGTAGTTTAAGTGAGATGAGATCACTTGGGGTCACGTGATACGAACCGGCGAATCAGGATTTGAACCATGAAATCATAGTAAATTCTTAAATTAATGTCTTTTTACAAATTTATTGTCTTTATTTATTGGCTTTTTACAAAATTTTAAACCATATTAAAATGTTTATGCCTTCAAAATAAAAAATTCTTAGAATTAACATTTTTTATGTGTATACTGTATGTTGTCGCCAACAAAGTCTGCTTGGCGAGATTTGCGTCGGCGAAACGGAAAAGTACCGTTGTGCGTTTACATTCTAAAAAATTAATATTATTAAAATTAAAATGTGATCTACAGAAAGTTTATAAAGTTACTGTGAAGTAAAATTCCCATATCCAGATGTCGTTTTAAAAATTTTTTGGCATATTAGAATATACGGTATTTTGATACTGCATACGAAAATCGATTCTTGCTGCTATATTCGTATGGTGATACAGAATTTGGCTGCGTAGCCTCAGGCCTTAGTCGGAATTACAGATGTTTTAAGTGTCTTTGAGACATGCATTTGCTTGCAAAACTATCGAGAGCCACAAATCCTCACGAGAAGGATAGCGGATTCTATAAGGCATTTCTCTCACCTTCTTAGCATGCTTTAGAAGTGTAGTGATCAGCACACTCAGCGCGTATCTGAGAGGTCCGTGGTTCGAGTCCCTGTGAGGACATTGTTCATTTTTCCTCTCACCTGCTTCTAAGTAATAACCTAATGTCGCTATAGTGGCGCCCGAACTAAAGGGGGTGGATGATGATTCTTCACCAACAATATTTGGCGACTGGGTCCTATAAACTTCCAGTCACCCTTTAAAAGGGGGAGTGTATAACTTATTTCTCCCGCTTTCTTAGCATGCCTTCGTGGTGTAGTGGTCAGCACACTCGGCGTGTATCCGAGAGGTCTGTGGTTCGAGTCTCGGCGAGGGCAGTGCTCATTTTTCATATCTCCTGCTTAGAAATAACCTGATATCTGTACACCTATTGAATCCGTTCCCATGGATATTTCCTCATCACAATTGAGAAGAACCTGAGCAAACTTATACTATCAGTTCTTAAGTGCTCAAGGTACTTGAGTAGTTCTTAAAGCCCAAAGTTCTTAAGTGCCAATGTTAATGATAAGAGTCGTTTTTATCTCTTCGCCGTTATGATAAAATACGTCAACTTGATATATCTGTAAATTTAATTACTAGATTTACTAGAATGATTAAAAGCTAGCCCAATAAAATCAATCCTTTCAAATTTGGTAACCCTATTTGCAACTGAAAAAAATTCCAGAAAGTAAAACATAAAAAGTCAAATAAAATATGCAAAAATAATCTTTACTTTATTCTTAAGTGTTGCATGGTATTTGGGAAATACAAGATATTTCAAACAATTTTTATACTCATATTTCAACTGCCTGGGCCTAAGAACTATAATGCCGGTTTGCAATATAATTTCAACAAAACAATTCTAAGCTGTGGAAAAGCTATGCATTTTAAAAAGATGCTATTTGCTCTGGCATGCTTAGAACAAGCGTATCAGAAGAAAAAAATTAATATTTTGATTTTATCCCAAAAGCGAACAATATTATAAGAATAATAACTTTACCTCCTTTACGGTAGTCAAAAGATCATATACAGTAAACCCCTCATACACATGGCTAATTTTCTGTCTTCTCTTTGCTGGCAAAGAAAACTAAAAAGGAAATGTCTCTAATTATTGTAAATGCATGTGCAATATTTCAGCTGTAGAAACACAGAGAATGAGTAAATAATTTAATGAAGATACCGTAGGAAACTTTAGTTAAAAGTGTTTATTCGTTATTAATTTGCTGTCTATCTATAGTGCAAATTCGTCAGCTTAAATAAAGGTTGATTTTAATGAATATTTCGAATAATTAAATATTCTAAAACTATCCTGTTATTAACAACTACATCGTTCTGAGCTTTGTTAAAAATTTAAATTCGGTTTTTCTTTTTCCTTCCCAAAACATAAATACGAATATTTCCTTTGATCTAACAGCTCAACAAATGTCTTTGTAATAGATTTCTTAATTACTTTTGCTCTAAAAATCATAGTTTCAGTTATAATCATAAGCATTACTTCTCTGTTAGCATAGTAGTAAAAAGGCTGGCTTGTATAGCGTTGAATTCGGGTTTGAATCGAGCCTAAGTGTCTTCGTGACATTCTTTATCGTGGTCAAATACTCATTTTCTTCAAACATGTCAAGCATTGTTTGACAAAATGTGAGACGTTGGTAATCCTGCTCGTTCACCTGTTTGACTACCATAAGTTTATACGGGCGAAACCCTAGGTTCTTTGCGTAAAACTCCCTGTACACTGCTTTGAGACATCCGCATCTCTGCAGACTGCCGCCTAGCAGAGCGACTAGGACTTCGGATCATTGCCTTTCTTAGACGATCCACATTCTCCGGTGTTCTGGCAGTTTTCGCAGGGCCAAATGCTTTCCTTTTCATTAAAGAACAAGTTTAATGTTCGAAAAAATGAGGCTTTTACCATCATAATGAGCAATGAAGCCTATTTTCATCTAAATGACTCAGTTAATAAAAAGCAAATGTAGACTCTACTAAGCATTACTTGATCGCGTAGTTTAGTGGTTGATTCTATGGAAATAAATTTTGTTTGTTTTGAAAAATCGACAGAGTTATGCTTTTCAGAAAAATATTGCGTTTCCCGTCACTCACCCTGTACTTGTTCAGTCGCTGAGTCGACTAAAGACCGCAGAATGTTTTGAAAGGAAAGTGCTTTTCTAAAGATTCTTTATATCTCTGCTAATGGATGGAGTTCCGCGGTAAATAAAATCTTGCATTTAATGCTATTAAAGAATAGAAAAATCATATTTATAATCTGAATTGTATGAAAAGTTGTAAGAACATATTAATAACTATAATTATTTCCTAAATAAATTTAAAAGCTCCAGTTAGATTGTACGGCGTCCGAAGCATTTTTTCAAATGGTAAATTTTATGGTTCAGTTTTTAACATATCGTTCTCCGTATCAAATATAATTTGATTCCTTAAAACACAAATTTTCCTTCAACTCTCTTCGAACTCTCTCTTAAACTCAAGTTTGGATCTATAAAACTGTCTACAATTAATATTAAAAACTGTATATACATATGGGGTGTAATATGTGAAATGGATCATTCATGCATTCTTTTGGATCATTCATGCTTTTTTTGCTCTTAGATGTGTAGAGCTAAAAATAAAAAAAAATGTAAGTATTATACAGCAAACCTTCTCTACTTACGTTGGCCAGTTTTATTTCAAACTCGAGAGTTTTCTTGAGTTCTTCTTCTGAGGTTGCTTTATCTGCACCCAAGGCGTTTGCTGCAGCTACCATCAATTGGAAGTAACGATATGTGGTAATATCTTTTAGTCCCTTCACTAAAAATTGGCGATCTAATCCCAATGATGGTTGGTCCAGCTTAAAAAAATCGAAAACATTTTAATATGAGTTAGATGAGAGTTTAAAGCTCTTGTAAAACCTTTTACATGAAATTCGAGTTTCCTTTCTCTTGTGCCGAGGTCAGAAAATTGTTAGTCGAATAAATTTTATTAATATGGCTTATTTTTAACTTTGATTTTAATTTCATCCATAATTCATCCTAAACTTAAGTTCTTAAATGAATTTCTTAACTTATGCTTTAGTTCAGAGTAAATTAAATTAAATCAGGGTCGTTTAACAATTTTCGGCTATTCTTGAGAAGAAACTATCGAAACATGATTTTTAGCTATTTAGTCTTAGTGTAAATCAACTTGAAATCTAAAGAATTAAACTTCAAATTTTTCCTTTCGAAGTTTGTTATTTAAACCTACATATTTATTTTAAATAACCGATTTTATTTAAGTTGTTATTCTTTCCTATAAGCCTTCATTTCCCTAATTGTCAATGCCAGAATATTTAAATTTGTAGCGTACAAGGAATGCAAATTCTACCTTGAAGAAAGAGTTTAAAAACCAAGGTTCAGTAGGAAAGACCGAGTTGTTGTCACCTCTGTTGCGTATGCGTCTGCTCCCAGAGTTGTTGAGGATTTTCTTGGATTAACTGCATTTACTTCCTGCCACTAGTTTCGACGCGGGTTTAAAAAATGGGAATTAGCTGAGCCCTGTAGTTTAGTTCTACAACTTGCACATATCTTCAAATTTGTAGTTAGTTCTTTGATTTTAGTTACCGCTCAGCAGAGGCGTAGTTTTTTAGCGTCGAATTGACGCATTGTAAATTTTAAAACAGTTAATAAAGGGTAATTTTAACTCTTCTTCTATGCAGTTACTACTCTTACAGTTCTCACACGGGAGTTAATCAATTGGATTCTATAAACTGAAAGATAATTTTCAAGTTTCAGTGATCTGAATATAGTATAAGGTATTTCTACCGCCTAACATGCCTTCGTGGTGTGCTGCTCTGCAGACTGGACGCGTATTCCAGAGGTCCGTGGTTTGATTCCCGGCGAAGGTGTTGCTCATTTTTCATCTCCCCTGCTTCGAATTAACCTATTTTCTCTACAATAGAAGTTTCGAAACAAATATGAAATTCCATCTATAGCTGAAACTGGCTTTAACATTTTCTTCCCAAGCAATGCCTAAAAATGTATGCTTAGATAAATACCTAATAAAACTTACTTACAATAATATTTCGGAACACTAAATTTTTTGTTCTTTTCTGGGAGAGGATAACATTTGGCTCAAATGCTGGAAATTCCACCTTCGGTGCCTTCGAGTCATGTACCGTTCCTTAAGGTTCCATGAGTAAATGTTGTTCACAAGAAAATATTGTTTTCAGTGTAGTTCCAAAAGCGAATATTGTTTCCTTTGCTTCCTTTAAAGCATTTCCTTTGTTAACAGCTTCTCTTTCTAAGCTTATAGTTATTACTGAAATCTGGCTGTTCTGGTGGGCTGCATGTAAGTAGCATAACGCAATGATATCTCTCAGTTCCCTGTGCTTTCATCCAAAACAGATAAAACCCTCTCAGCGAATTTGCACTCTCTTTATTTATGAAGTTTGGTTTATGATTTGTTAAGTATATTAAAATTACGCCAGGGACAATTTCATATCAGAATGTTCAAGTTTAGATTGTTCAAGCTTACAGAATGTTCACCTTTTAAGTGACAACTTCAGTTTTAGTTATTAAATTTAAGCGGTTTTTGAAATTTAGAAACCTATTTTTGAATATTTCCAAATTTATCTAGAAAAATCGATAAACTCTTCAGAGAACTATTCAGTGCGAGCTAGGAATTCCTAACCAAATCACTTTTTGTTTCATTAAAAAAACCTGGAGTTCACCTGGTGGAAGACTATTTTCTTTTGATTCACCAGTATTCACTGTTTCGATTATAAAGATTTTTTATTTGTCTCAATTATTGACAGCAATAGCCTGGACATTAGCTTTTAATGATAGAATTAGATAATAACAAATTATTCATTGGGATTGTCATCAGTTACTCAGAACTGCTATTGCATATGGAAATCGTTACCAGTTTTTAATGATTCTGATGGAAATCTGCTTCTTCGATTGACAAAGTAATTTTATCTTGAATGAATCAGTATCCTTTTGCCATTATATTACTCTTATTTAATCCTCTATTTCTTAACTCCGTTAGGGAATGCTAACGACTAGAATCCAAATGATATTTGAACATTTTCTCTATTGTGGGAAAGCGGGCCAGTTTCAAAGCAGTGACCAGGTTTGAGTTCGAGAACTCTATTAAATTCTCGCAAATCATCATCTGGAAATTATAGCAAGTAGTTTCGTGGATATTCATCTATCAACTCTTTGATCACTTTTTTCTTAATCTTCATATCTGTAAAAGTTTAATTTTTTTTCAAGGTCACTGAATAAAAGATTCTTGAGCTTATTTTGCAATGCCATATTTTGATTATCACAGCAACATAAAGTTCCTCTATTATACTTCTTGTGAATGATATCACTTTAGCTATGCTTTATGAATTCTGACACTCGGACTGAAGAAAATAGTTTTCCTTATATTTATTATTTCTTGCTTAAAATATATTTTGCAGCTTCTATTTATAGAATGTGATATTCACTTTCAATTGCAAGTGCTTCGTTTCAAAATTCATTCAAATATATAAGTGACGAAGATAAATTTACGCAGAGAGAAAGTAAAATTATTATCCAATCGGTTACTGAATTTATCTACAAAATGAATATGACTAAACTCCGAATACTCACTGTTACGATGTAAGGCGATGTGTGGTTAGGTACCATTGTAACGTCCAGTTTCATCAGAGTATCGTGACTGTAGCCCATCTTGCGGAGATGACTGAGAGTGTTAATCCAGTCAAAGAAAGTCTCATCCCAACTATGTTTTTCAACCACTGGCCAGCCTCCAAGTTTCTTCAGAGCTTCGCTCAGGGGTGAGATTCCTGCATTCTCGATGCTTCCTACATTCCCCCCCCCAAAAAAAAGTATTAAATTAGCACAATCAGAATAACAAATGAGTCACGTTATTCTTAAAATATGAGTCTTTAAACATTTAACAGAACATTATTTTTGAAGCGACAAAGCCCAGGACAATTTATCCTTCTTCCTTTTGGTTGATATACAGTGTCCCATACATTTACTCATTTTCTGTAGTGGAAATAAACAAATGAAATTTTAAGTGGCTTGGCATAATATTGTTTTGAATTAGCATGTATATAAGGGTTACGCAGCACTTCAAGAGAAATATATATAACTCACTCATTTCAAATAGAAATTCTCTGATTCTGATGGTGGATCGAAACATGGAAGAAAAATATTTGTTTGAAAGTTAGTTTCGAGCTTAAAGTGTTTTTTTTTTCATCATTTGATGCACGCATCAGCACCTTGTTTACTTTTTGAAAAACATTTATTTCAGATGCACTCTGAGATCTGAGAACCAACTGCATTTACAAACAGCGAGAGAGCAGCAAAAATTTTTTATAAAGCATTTTATAACATTTCAATGCTAATAGAGGTTTGAAAGTATACTGTGTTAAATACATCGGTAGTGTTCGGAATGTTGATGGAGTTGACATACTAATTCTTTTTTAGAACAATTGTTTGTTTTCTGGCTAATGTATATTTTTTTCTTTTGCTGTTCCGCCAAGTTGTAATTCCTCTTTTGTCAATTCTCTCAGATTTCAAAAAGTTACGTTTGTAAATGTTTTGGTAGGATACCCTCAGTATCTAATGAGAACAAGAATATATGCTGTTATATTTTGTTAAATATGTTTGAAATTGAAGAAACTCAGCAATGGAATTACATACATTCCTTCAGTGCTATTGAAAACATTATATTTTTGAAAAAATTTAAACAGTTTGCTACTTTAAAAAAAATATTTAATTCTTGAGTTTCCTGCAAATCTAAAACTGTGTTCAGTTTTTAGAGAATTTTATGTATACAGGAGCAGCGTCGAGATTACGATGAGAAATTGTTATATATTAATTGGAATTACAATTACACACTAAAGGTTTCAGCTCAGTTGTCATGTATTTTTAATCATGTGAGTTTAAAAGAACGGATATTTCTACCTAGACGACTCTAGGTAGAATGTTGAGCAACAGAATACTTTTGTGTTTCCTTTTTTCTAACATATGCCTCATGTTCCTTGACGCAAAATTTTAAGGCTCTTTTGGTTTGGCCAATGTAAATTAAACCACACTGGCAAGTAATCCTATAAATACCCCAGGAATTCATATCCGGAATGGGGTCCTTGAGTATGGAACCCGGAATTTTATTGATGGGAGAATAAACGACCCGAAAGTTAAAAATTCGCGTTAGATAAAAATTTGCGTTCCCGAAAGTTAAAATTTAGAAAAAAGGAAGCACAAAAGTCTCTGTTGCTCAACATTGTTGGTCCGAAAATCACACTCTGAATTTTTCTGCTGCCAAAATTATTCAAAAAACATCTTCCATTAGAGAATTGGATTTTCTAGAGGCATTTCACAGTCAAAAAAATCTTTCTTTTCTAGTTAACGATCCTAATTCCAATCCATCTTTGCCTTCGGCCTTTAAAGAAATTATGTTTTAGTTCTGGTTTCACCAACAGATGGCGCCACTTGCTTACTCTTGTCCAGGCTTTCTTATCTTAACGTTATTTCCTATCTTGTTCATTTGCGGTTTTGCAGCTGAGGATGGTGGTACGGTAAAACCATCGAAACTAGTTCTGTGAAAATTTTGAAAAATAACGTTGATTTTTGTTGTTTGACCTCTGAATTAATATTTGTTCGGTGTGTCTTAACTAAAATCAGTTTTATTAGTTGAATTTCAAAACTATCTCATTTGCATCAGTATTTATTTAACAAGTAAAAACGTTCGAAGCTTGCTGTTGTTTTGTAATTTTTATTTAATGTGGAAAAGTATGAATACTACAGATAGGAAAAGGTATAGGTTATAAAAGTGAAAGTATTTTACAGCTAGCTCTCTTTTAATTGTAAAATAAAGAAGAATGCGTCAAAACGCACGGAAAGAAAGTTTGGTATGATAACTAAATTTTTGCATTGTAAAAATTTCAAAACTATCACAGTAGCTTAGGATTAATTGACAAGTGAAAAAATATGAAAAACTGAGAATTTGTTTCTTCCCTAACGTATGCTTCGTGTTAGAAAGCTTTGATTCTGCAAATGAAAAAACGGTGCATGCCGTACGAAAATGAAAGAGTTTTATAGCTAGATTTTTTTTTGCAAAACAATGAACAACATTTTGAAACACTTAGAAAATAATTTGTCTGTGGAAAAGCATATATTTTCCAGAGTATGAGATGAGAATATTGAAAATATCGAATTACAATTTGATGAAAAATATAATAAAATTGTGTTTAATGTCATACATTGTAAAACATTTAAATGTAATATCAAGTCTAAAGAATGAAGGATTTAAAACAGTGTTTCCAGTCTTTTGAATTTGCATACTCCTTCTGATGGCTCTTTTAGGTAATTATATGCATATTCATGATGTGATGTAAACACACAGTTTCTATTTACTCAGCTCTTATCGTCTCTATATAAAACATGTTGAAACTATTATTTGATATGAGTGTTTGTAGACTATCTATACGTGAAATGTTGCCAGTATTTCAATAACCTCAAAACTATTCACATCACTGATATAGCATCATCGGGTTTATTGTATAGCTAAGCTCAATGATAGACGCAGCTGTCGAAAATAAATGAACATGTGGCCATCAAAATGTCTGCATTATCTTTTCATCATATGCGGCAACTCAGCTCCTTTCATCTAATTCTAGGCTGCAAGCAAATGATCAAAAACACCTACCAAATCCATTAATTCTGTTAAAATAATCAAAGTATTTTTCCTTTTTTTATGATTTATAATACTGTTTCTGGGGTAATTGCACAGAGAAAAAAGTTTCTTAGAGTGTATAACAAACTTTTGTAGTTCAAATGAGCAGATAATAAAGTAAAGGTTTCTAGCGTTTAATTTGTCTTTTTATTAAATTTAAGAAAAAAACCATATCCTTTTTTAAATTTTTATTATACTTGATGATATTTACAGTAAAACAATATTTCAGCTCAATATTTGTCTATAAGTCTTAACCAATAAATCTAAAACTAAAGATAACAGTTTTTAGATATCCCGCGAACTTTTCATACTTAACACACTGTATTACATTAATAAGTAAGTTACAAAGTGCATCATGCTTTTATAATTAGCCTATTTAATTATCATTTAGAGTAAATCTAATGTTTAGTATAAATACAAATAAATGAAGAATTTCACTACAATAACTAATTCAAAAGAACTTTCTTATTTTTAATTAAAATATCTGAAACCCAATCCATGCTGTTAATGATAATACTCACAGTTGAAGTTAGAAGAGAGTGTAGAAGCTGGAGGTTTTTTATCTAAACAAATATTACTTTTACTATAACAGAGGAATGCTATGGTGAATATCTTTGTTTCTTTCTGCTGAAAATGTGAAATTGTTCACTTATAATTTTGGGATATGATTTTTGTTTGTTTACAGCTATTGACATTATTCCTTCTTTCATATTGTAACATTAAAATGCAAGGTAGTAAACCCAAATTCTGTAGCCCGCTGCGATTGTTTCTTTCACACGTTCTTGTCGCAAGTCTTTTACTTAAATATTTAAAATTCCGAAAAAAAATTATAAGCATAACGGGCATAACGATAAGCATAACTGTTTCTAACTTATAAGTTTTAATCTTTAAAAAATTAAATAGATGGCATATTAAAGATAATATTGTTGCGAAATGCACAATTACGGTAAGATAGCTTTCCGGCAAAGAAAACGTTCTTAATGGCTTTCCTCGGGAATGTTCACGAAAATTGGTTAAAGCTATATATACCCTCCCTGTACGCGGATAAAGTAGTAAGTGTAAATGTATTTTGAGTTCAGAGATTAGCTTAAGAACGACCGAACCGAGTCAGGAGTTGTTCTTCAGAGCTTTGCCGTGAAGTTGTCTTCACCGTCGTAGCCTCAAGGCTGAGTTGCTGATTATTTCAGCGATTTTATCGTAGTTTTTCGACCACTGTAAACGTGTCTTTGGAACTCTCCTGTGTAATAGTCACTAAAGACTGTTGTTTTTATTCTTCATCAAGTGTTGTAGTCAAGCACTCCAAATCCACGAACCCAAGGAATGCAACAACAAGTGTTAGGAGTGGGATTTGTGAGTGAATGCCAGTGATCCGCCTGCAGGAGAAAGCCATGAAAGCTTTGATAGACTTGTTAGCAGTTGTAAAAGCCGGATTAGGAGATATGAAACCCGGACAGGAAACGATAAATACTGAGACCAAGGTTGGACAAGAAAAATTAGAAAGTGAAAAAAATCGTGGCAAGAAGAAGTGAAAGAAGAAGCTAATGAACTGTCTGAGAAAGATCAATAAATGAAGGATGAAATATCTAACAAGACTGAAGAAAGAGAACGAAAAGATAAAGATGGGAAAGAAGCTTTTGATTCTCAAGTGCCCGAAGTGGAAATGGGAGAAAGTGATAATACTGTTTGTAAAGATGAAGAAATAAAAGAAGTGGCTAGTAAAGCATTTGAGAAATGTGAAGATGTAATTCATGGAAATAAAATTCCTGGTTCACAAGCACCTGAAATAGAGATGGGAGGAAGTGAAAATGTGATTATTAAGTTGGTAGAAACTATTAGTGAAGTTGTGAAATCGCAGTTAACAAATATTGAACCATCTGAAAATTCATGTGATGCAGAGATGGGAGAAGCTGATTGATGCACAGCTTAAGCAGAGTGTTCCAGTATTGTAAGAAAATATTCGCACTTCACAGACTAGGTGTGTGTCTCATAACACATGTTGTACAGATACAAACTTTATTCTAGGCCAGGATACTTCTGTTTGTCAAGAATCTGATTATATTCAGTACTCTAATACAAAAATTGGAACTGGTTTTCAGGAAAATAAAGTTCAAAAATATAACGGACGAGTTGTTTAAAAACGAAAGTACATTAAACAAAGAGAAATATTATGATGAAAAAATAATAAAACATCACTCCGAATTTCAGAGACATTTTCAGAAATTTACTAGACTAGAACCAATTGTTACATTCATGTGATACCCACTTGACAATGTTGATGTGGAAGAAATAACTGAAAATGAAAATTATATTCTTTTTATTCTTTTAGGTTTTCTCCTTCAAAATGTCATAATTTTAATAGCACGTAGTTCATAACCTAAAAATAACTTTTGGAATCTAATGACGAAGTATCGTATCCTAATTTTAAAAAAGTTGTATTTCATTTAACATATTTAACATTATAACATCGTTCTTTGGCTCGACCTGCCTGTAAAAATCTTCAGTTTCAACGATGAGTATAATTAAAACAACATATCATTCCCGTCTCACAGACGATCTCTTAGAATCCAGTGCAAGATTAGCAGTTAGTAATTATATACCGAGATACTCAAAGATTGGCGGATAGTATGCAGACTAATTTCTACTAACTACAAGAACTTAACTTTAAAAAAAATGATTTATTTTTAACATATTTTTTGAACTATTTGATAAGAATTTTTGAATTGTTTGAAATTATTATATTTCTGGCTATTACTATTATTTTTATATCTTCCGTTTTGCTTTAAACGCGATTTTAAAAGAGTAAATTCATTTTAGGTACTGTTAGGTAGGTAAGTACATATTCCGTATTTATTATCAAGTTATAATAAATATTGTAGACCTTCTTTTTAGCTCACCACACTTACGTCTCTGAGTGGACCGGAACACCTTTAAAAAATTAGAAGTAGCCCGTATCCTGGAAAAGTCTGCTCACCCCTGCCATAGACGGAGCGAGAACATTATAGAATGCATTCTTAGAGGTTTTCTTCGGGAATGTTCTCGAAGGTAGATTTTGGAAGCTATATATACCCTAGAGATTATCTTGAGAGCAACCGAACCGAGTCGGGACCTGTACTTTGGTACTTTGTTGGGAAGCTGTTTTCACTCTTGTAGCCCGAAGGCTGTTTGCTGATTGTTTCAACGTTTTTATCGTATTTTTTCGATGACTGCAAACGTGTTTTTGGAACTCTAATACTGGCGAATAAATTGTGTTTTGATTCTAAACAAGTGTTGTCGTCAAGCATTCCAAATACATAATCCTGTAGAACGCAACAATACGATACACTATAAAGATGAAATATAGCACAAATAAATGTAGTCAAGATACATTTGTGTTTCTGACTAATGAATGTTTGGCATTTCACTTAAAGCCACAGAGACTGCATTTCATTCAGCAAAAATAGGAAGCAATCATGAAAAATTTCAAGAAATAAATCTTAATTAATATTTAGTGAAAAGAAAAAGAATTAACTGGCGCTTTAAGTAATAAAATGCGCTGAGAAAGAGCTTCATTTCTTGCGAAATACTTGGTTTATGGAATTATCTCTACGTTATCAGAAGCAACTCATACTCTCTTTTACTCAACTCATACTCAAATTACTAAAATAATAGTAAATAAAAAAATAAAAAATTGAAACAAGGCTTACTTGTATCCATGCAGGATTCATACATTTCTTTTATCTTAGGAATGAAATCATATTCATCTTCAGCCGTCTCTTTTTCTAAGAGACCTGGAGGGGGGAAGTAATATTTAAGGAATTAAGACTGCATATATGTGTGTTTTTCTTTCATTAAGTATTTTAATAAATCAACACGACTTTTTTTTCAGATATTAATGTATCTATAAACGGTATCGCTAAGGAATTACATAGATTGCAGAAATTATAAAGTGCATATAAAAAGAACTGTTTTGGTCCAATACACAGGCTGAAACTTAATAAAACTTAGAATGAGAAGACGTTTGCTATGTTTAATATACAGGAAACTTCCCCAATTTTACCTAAATTTTTCATAAAAATTTAAATAGAAAATAATTTAAATTAACCTGAAGAAATGAGATAAAAGCTCAACAGAATAATCGAAAACATTCCAAAACGATATTTTAAACGTTGTATTTACAAGTTAAGTATGCACTGCATCGTAAATCACGATGCTCATCTTTGTATTGCTTGTGTTCTATACTCACTTTCAAAATATCCTTTTTAATTACCGTAATTTCCGGAAGAAAGGCCGCATCAGCGTAAACGCCGCACTCGAGAAAAATGGCGGAAAAAAAATTAAAATTACACAGAAACGCCGCAATAGATTAAATTACGCGTGACATCGTTGTGGGCCGTATAGAGGCAAAAACTCAACCTAAGTCCTCATATATGACATACCAGTTAAGAAAAATGCATGAAATGAAACCATAACTCAATAAATTAAAGGTATGAAATGTATAGCTTCTGTGCCGTTTAGAGACATTTTCAAAAATTCTCCGCTCCCTAATTAAAAACTATCCAACAAGTACTTGTACCCAAACTGATGGGATCTGTATTTGGCAGAATGCCAAGAAAAATCCATTCATGCTGAAGGGGAAATACGTCAGAGTTCGTTATTTCGAGGCAGGTGGAGTCGTGTCCGCCTTTGAAAAAAATTGCAGAAAAGGCAGGGGTGGGGAGGAGGATGAGTCCTGGAAGATTCATCGAATGGCAGAGGAGAGAGACTATTCAAACTGATGAGAATGTTGATTTGAAAGGGGAAAGAATGTTATGTTCTGAGATCTCGTTTAGGGTGAATAAGGCATGTAGGTCCGTTCAAGGGAAAGAATGTAAACAAAATAACGTTCGCAAAAAAGCAACTGAGTGGTCTTTTGTGTGGGAACAGCACCAGTCTATGCACAATGACAAGGCCATCTAAACTATGTACAATGACCATCATAGGAAATATTTTATTTTTAGTGCACCTAAATGCCGCATGGGTAGAAACGCCGCACCCGCTGAAAATTTAAGTTTTAAACACGTAAACGCCTCGGCGTTTCTTCCGGAAATTACGGTATAAACTTTTCTGCTATCTTCATGTAAGTAAATAAAATACGAATTTTTAATAAAAACTCTATTGAAAACACCTTATTATAATTTAGCCGTTACTATTTCTGTAGAGAAACATTACTTTTACGTTATGTTTATATCATAAATATTCTAGAAGCAAGAAGTAAAAGGTACCCATGTAGAAGTATAAGGCATTTCTCGCGCCTTCTTAGCATTCCTTCGTAGTGTAGTGGTCAGCACGCTCGGCGCGTATTCGAGAGAGCGGTAGTTCGAGTTCCGGCGAAGGCATTGCTCATTTTTCATCTTCCCTGCTTCGAAATAACCTAATGTCTCTACAGAAGTTTCTTACTTTCACTATTATCTGATTAAGAACTTTTTATCAACAAAATGAAAAATCGTATAAAAATAACTACACTTTTTTTTTTTTTTTTTTTTTTTGGTTTGAACTATTTTACTGCAATTTTATTTATATAATATTTGTTTATTTGAGCGACGTTATTAGTATCTGAAACAACGAATTTGATATTTGAAATGTGAAATGTTTTAGACAAGTTCCTCCGTTCTGTTTTAAAAATATGATGCCTTATCGCATTACATTCTTCTGATTAAATATACGATCTGCATTTAATATTTTAAGTAAAATAGAGTATAACAGAAATAACAGAATATTAAGTATAACAGAAATATCAAATTTGTGTTGATTGTAAAAGAACTGTACGGTTGAAATGATAGCATGATGGACTTATAAGTGCATGTTTAAATATCCTGTATGCTTTTTCATATAAATTGTTTTAATGAGAATTTATAGAATATCTAAGAATACCATTAAAATTAAATAGCATTTAATGATTTGCGTAAATGTAGATTAATTATGATTCACCACCATTATTATTATCATTGAATGATTTGCTTAAATTGAAATGTTTTAGAAATTAATATTATGAATGCAATTATTTTGTTTACGTTCATTATGTGTATTAGTATATATAAAGACCTGAAACAGATTTACAAACCTAAAACTACTATAAAAACTATACCCTTAAAAACTTTTAACATTTTTACTATTTTAATAAATATTTAAATAATTTTTATTTTGAGGGAAAATAAACGTAAGCTCATTAAGAAAAGGAAAACGCCTAAGTATCTGCATAGTCCATATATTACTTTGTAATAAAAGGTTTTCGAAACTAATGCAACATATTTGGTTATTTATTTCGTTTCCATTAACTAATTTCAGTATTAATTTTCTCCTCTTCTCTGTGTATTATCTAACGATTGTTCTCTCTTTTTCCAAGTATGCCTGGCCTGAAATTAAACATATGCATTCTATACGGCATATTGCCTTCTTTTTCTTATAATCAGTTGTTTCATTTCTAGGAAATTAAAAATAAAAGTGTAACATATGTTCGAGATATTCTCATGATCTTCTATTGCATTTGGTGAAATAATTATTTAGGAGGGATCGGGAACTTTTCGAAATGACTTGAAAGAAAGACTTAAAGAAATACATTGAAATCGCAAGTAACATCCTCAGAATATCGATAAGAGGTTTGGAGAAGGTATGTGGGTTGGGTTTCCGATTTTGGAAGCCCGCGTTACTGGAATTTGATTGTTTTGTTAAAGGTACTAAAAATTTATCTTCATATTAATATAAAAGACTTAATACAAATGGCTTTAACATATCATCTAGCCGTTTTAAATTGTCATTAAATATATGCTTGAAAGATGCATAAACTTCATGTGCAGGCGTTTAAATTTGCAACAGACGAAAAATGGTCAATTATATACGACATAGAAATTGGCATCTTAAACTAATAATCAATAGTCTTAAATATGTTTTTCAAGACAAGACGAATTATGCTTAGGATCTTGTATGAAAATATCTGGGATTAGCACTGATCAAGAAATGTTTTTCTGTTTCTTTATTTTGAGCAGCGCATAACTGTAGGGCACATTTGAAATTTAACAGAAATTACTATGTTTGCACATTTTGCAATAAATCCTTTTGTGGTTGTTAAGTGCAGGAGCTAACTGCAATGTTCCTCCTTTTTTTCCTTTCCTCCTTTTAATTTTTCTAACAGATAATTATCCTGATTAATGTGCATAAATGGCAGGTTTGTTCTTTACATAAGTTGCTTCTAAGAACACGTTCAGGCTCTAGTGTAGAATTAGGTGACCCTTTGATCAGCGACAATTTTTTTTTAAATTGTGGCGATGTAACCTCGCATCTGGTTACCATGATAGTTTTAACTTTGTTTTAGCTTCCTGATTTTATTTAAATGAAAATAGATTGATGTGTACATGGACAAATTTAAGGCAGTGTGCAATGCCTAGTTTGTGCAATTTTAGGATGTGTTTTTAAGTGAAAACAGATCGATGTGTACATGGATACAAAGTTTGTGCAATTCTTTGACTTCTTATTTTGGTTTTGTGTAGCTGCCATCTTGAAATTTTGCCTTTCTGGCGTCGATCTTGGAGTCAAAAAAAAAGAATCGCTAAAAAACAAGGGGCACCCAATTGTAAACTTTTACCCACGTTCATTTAAAACTGCGTTCTTCGTTTCCTTTTTTTAGCTGCGAGAGGGAGATAATTTTCCATTTCAAGAAGATAAATAAATGTTTCACAAATTGTGCCGTCCATTTTGTTCGGTCCATCTCTTATTCCCGATAGTCCAAGACGCAATGCTGTTGCGGCCGTCTACAGAACATGATTGCCGTGTTGGTTACCTGCACTGCATAGACATTTCAAGCGATCCTATTTGCCCACTTTTTTGGGGGGGATTCTGGAGAAGAAATGGACAGGGACTACCTGCTATGCTGTGGGGCTCTTCGAGATCTTACGTCGAGATACTGGGAGGCAAGAGCGCTCCTAAGGCAAGAACTTCGGTCTTTTATTTCTTAGTTCTATTATTTGTAACCTCTCTTTGTAAGATTTTAGTTCTTTGTAACTTTTTGCCTAGCCATTGTAAATAAATAGAATTGTTCAAAGTTATCAAAAAATTTAGCATATTTATTTACTCACGTCTGAGTTCTAAGTAGAGTTTATCTTGAAGTTCGGAATGAATTGACACTTGTGGCGCGTAGTATTCAGAAATAACATGTTTTTTCAACCAGCCACCACAAGCAAACTGGTAAAAGTCATCGCAAGGGTCCGTAGTATCATCCAACTTGTTTAAAATGTCGGAAGCTGAAAGATAAAGAAAACATTATTAATTCAAAAATATTTTCCCTTCTTGGTCTTAATTAGTTTTATATCCCAAAACAAAAACAGAGTATTATGCTCATCTCTTTGTGGAATTTGCTGAAAATCAAAACTCTACACAATAAATATCATAAATATTTTACTTTTGCTCCAACGTACAAACTGGAAACACAACACACTTATATATGTTTAGAACACAATTTAAAACTAATTGCCACATCTCTAAAACACAATCACATAAAACTTCATTCATTTAAAAGTAGAAATAAATTATTTTTAGCTTTTTGTGAATAGCAGGAGCGCACTCTTTCGGCGAGCAATGGATGGCGTAACACAGTGGGCCCCCATGGCCCCGTCATCAGCTCAACTAGAAATATAAACTGAAATATAATACACATAAACATAAAAATTAAACAAACTGTAAATATAATTATAAAACATGAAATAAATAAATCAAGAGTCATTTATAGGAAGTCTGACCAACTTATGTATTGGTCTTTTCATTTCACCCGACACATTTTTTAAGCCCCCCCCAAAGTCCTGCTATGCTGCCTCAACGTGGCGGGGGGGTGTCACTGGGCGGAACGGGCGAAGTACGTCGGGAGCATAGCTCTTGGTAGGGCCACCCTAGGCGTGAAGGCCGTTCCAACATGCCCAGCTAAAGCATAGCAGGTGAAGAACCCTCAGGGGATTGCCGTCTTGGTGATCGGGTATCACACTCCCGGAGCCCCAGTAACCTTTCCTCCTCTCTCTTTCCTCTCCTCTCGTCTAGCTCTCTCCTATTTTTCTCCCTTGTGGTTTCCTCTACTGGAGGTTGGGGCTCACTGTGAGATGCAGCTACTACTCTTAGTTTCTGTTTCACCATGGTGAGAATACCGCCTATGCGTTTGCCGTGCATGGTGACCCGTAGGGTGGGAAAGGAGGATCCTGGCAGTTGAGGGGCGAGGTACTATCCCCAACACACTGCTTTGGCCTCTGCTTCTACTTAAAACGGGAGGCACTTAGCTGTCCTTAAACTTAAAACTTAACTACTTAAAACGGCTGGCCTTAACTACTTAAAACGGCTGGTCCTTAACTACTTAAAACGGCTGGCCACTAGTCCTATTGGTCAGTGGCTAGGGGATAAGCTCTCGGAAGTTTCCGCTCTTGGGAAAGCCGACTGTGGGGCTTCAGTTTGCGTATAGGCCCGGTTAGCCCTAACATAGGGATCTGTGTTCCCTTGTTGGGCTCCATGGTGGGTGGGGCGGTCGGGCCCGAAGCCTTCTTTCTTTTCAATATGAAAACTTTAACTTCTTCTCCTAACCATATGGATACGAAAAATTCTGGAGCTGCTAAAAGAATTTGTACTTCGACCTTAATTAGCACAAAACAAATGTCCAAAGTTCTTAGTTATCACTGGTGAGCTAGAAAATCTACGAGTATCACCATTCTTCATCCATAAGCATATTGTGGCCTCAGCAGGCGAGCCAAAACACATAAAAAAGCAAAAAAGCTCCGTTCAGGATCTCTGCTCATCGAGACTACATCTGATGCACAATCTTCCTCTCTCCTAAAAATGACCAAAATGGGGGAACATTCTATTACTGTATCCCCACATAAGTCTTTGAACACGTCAAGAGGTGTCATTTCGGAAATAGACTTGATATCAGTCTCTGAGGATGAACTTTCAAAAGAACTCGCAGAGCAAAATGTATGTGGCGTCCGCCGAATAAAAGTCCGTAGAGACGGGCAACTCATCAGAACAAAACATCTTATTCTGACTTTCTCCTCTCCAGAGCTACCGAAAGCCATTAAGGCAGGTTACCTGAATTGCCCATCAGACCTTACGTGCCGAACCCACTGCGCTGTTTCAAGTGTCAACGGTTTGGCCATGCGAAGGCCGCATGCCAGGGAAACCTGGCATGTGCTCGCTGTTCTGCAGGTGGTCACGAAAGTCAGGAATGTGTAGCTGATCCAAAAATGTGCAAACTGTCATGCCAATCATCCAGGCATACTCACGAAACTGCCCTAAGTGGAAAGAAGAGAAAGAAATACAGCATATTAAGACTCCTATCCTCAAGAAAAATCTCCTATCCTGAAGCTAAGAAACTTTTTAGCACGGGCCAGTCAAAAGCAAATGTCTCCTATGCACAAGCCACTAAATCATGTCGGTCAATAAGTACACAAACATCGCATAGCACACAAAAGAAGATACCTGAACCAAAAACAAATGACAAAGAAAGTCTTTCTTCTACCTCCTCCCAAACAGACAATAGAAAGTCGAGAAATAAAAACACAAGAAACAGAGAGTTCAAAAAAGAAAATCAAAAACTCAGAAAAGAGAAGCTCAAGCCGAAGCTCTATTGAAGGGACCTTTTCAGACTTTATCGAATCTGAGATGGAAACAGATGGAGGCAGAGATCTCTCGAAAAATGTTCTACCTCACAAAACAAAGAAACAGCATCGAAGCAATAAACATTCCTAATGGCTACTCTCATTTCGTGGAACTGCCGGGGCTTCTATCAGGGTATTGATGGCATTAAGCAACTTATTAATAAATATCGACCTATTTGTATAGCGATACAAGAGACATTCCTCAAACCTGGTAATTTTGCAAAGCTACGTAGATACTCGATGACAAGAAAGGATAAGACATTCAGTGAACGCGCAAGTGGTGGTGTCTGTCTACTCACCTCAATTAATTGCCCTTCGAGTGCTCTCCCTTTGGATACTCCTCTCCAAGCAGTTGCAGTACAGGTTGAGCATTCGAACACTGACTACTGTTCTGCAGTATTTACATCCCGCCTAATGAGAACATTAATGTAAGAGATTTAGAGGATCTCTAATTGCCCAACTACCAGCTCCGTTTTTTTCTAGTCGGTGATTTCAATGGACACAATCCCTTGTGGGGTAGTAAAGACATAAACCCACGCGGGAAGCAAATTGAACAGCTACTCCACGACGACTGTCTCTATATCCTTAACAACGCAGAAAGCACTTATTTTCATCAGTCAACAAGGACCTTCCATTCCATTGACCTCGCTATTGTTTCTCCACAGTTTTTGTTATTTTGTTTCTTTAATGTCGAGAATTATCTATATGATAGCGATCATTTTCCTATTATCATAAGCATTACAGGAAATAGGAGTGTTTTTATACCTAGAACACCACGCTTTTTGTTGGACAAAGCCGACTGGGACTCTTTCTTACATTATGCTCTTTTTACTGAAGAAATAATAAAGAATGTGCACATTGATCAGGCTGTGAAGATCATTACAGATAAAATTATTCAAGCAGCTGATATATGTATACCAAAAACGTCGGTAAAACAGCCAAAATACCCAAAGCCCTGGTGGAATCCTGAATGCCAGGACGCCATCAGAAAACAAAGGAAAGTTTGGAGCATTTTTCGGCGATATCCTTCAGAATCGAATCTCGTAATATTCAAAAGGGCTAAAGCAAAAGCTCGGCAGGTGCGAAGGAAAAGTCGGAAGAATTCTTGGATCTCGTGTATCTTCGATTAGCTCTTCAACTTCGAGTAAGAAGGTCTGGAGAGAGTCCGGAAAGCGTCCGGTATCTACAAAGAGACACACACTTTCCATTTTAAAGACAAGGGGTGAAGAACAGTTACTAGTAGGGAAGGAAATTGCCAACGCTATTGGGCAGTTTCTCAGCCGTCTCGCACACTAGTAACTACCCTCTTGAATTTCTTTCCGCAAAAAAATTCATTGAAAAACACAACTAATTTCAAACTCTTCCCAATACTGAACCATATAATCAGGATTTTACTGTGCTTGAACTGAAAAGAGCTCTGTTGCAGACAAAAATTCATGTCCTGGTCCAGATGATATTGCCTATCCTATGCTGAAACATCTTCCTTCCAAGTCATGGCAACCATCCTCTTTCTCTTTAATAGAGATGGAAGGAACAAGTCTTTCCAAATGCCTGGAAATAGCTTTTGTCATCCCCATTGTTAAACCGGGAAAAGACCCTACTAATCCGTCGAATTACCGTCCCATCGCCCTAACTAGCTGTCTCTGCAAACTCTTTGAAAAGATGGTCAACACTCGTCTGGTCTATTATTTAGAGACAAATAATTGTATCTCCCCTTATCAGAACGGTTTTAGAAAAGGAAGAGCAACTATCGATAACATCCTATTCTTAGAAACAGGTATCCGTAGAGCGTTCGTTAGAAGAAATCATTGTTTCCATTTTCTTTGATATAGAGAAAGCTTATGATACCACCTGGAGAGACGGTATCCTTCGTGACCTATATAACAATGGTTTACGAGGAAACATACCGATATTCATCAAACATTTCCTACAGGATCGGAAGTTTCATGTGAAGATAAGCGATACACTTTCTGACATCTTCCATCAAGAAGAGGGCGTTCCGCAAGGAAGTGTATTAAGTCTTACATTATTTAGTATAAAAATTAACTCTATTTTAAAACAACTGCATCCAGCAGTCCAGGGTATGCTCTATGTCGATGACCTGCAAGTCAGTTGCCAGGGAGAAGACCTGAAAGACATTGAATGTAAACTGCAGACTTCTCTCAATAGAATTGTAAATGGTCACAGGAAAATGGTTTAGATTCTCTACTCAAAAGACTGTGTGTGTACATTTCTGTCGAAAAAGAAAATTCCTCACCCTAACCCCGAACTTTATCTGCGAGATGTGCTGATTCCTGTAGAAAAGGAAATAAAATTCCTAGGAATGATATTTGACCATAAGCTTACGTTCCTCCCCCATATTACCTATCTAAAAAAAATGTTAAAAACTATGAATATTTCTGAAAGTACTGTCAAATACTCTTGGGGTGCTGATCGAAGCTCAATGCTTCTTATATATAGAGCTCTCATTCGTTCGAAACTAGATTATGGATCAATCATTTATGAGTCGGCAAGGCCTTCAGTATTAGCCAAACTTGATCCGATACATCACCATGCACTTCGGATATGTACTGGTGCCTTTAGAACTTCTCCAGTGGAAAGCTTATATGTGGAAAGTAACGAGACATCCCTGCGGTTAAGACGTGAAAATCTTTGTTTTAAACATTATTTCAAAGTCTTATCACAAACCGAAAATTCTACGCGGTCAAAATTGCTTAATGACCAATACTCCCGTTTATATCAAGCACGACCATCATGTGTCCCATCTTTCGGCTTGCGGATGAGTGATTTGGTGGAGGAGTATAATTTGTCTAATATAGATATACAGATGGAGGATTTTTTTGGAATTCCTCCCGGGGAGGATTGGAGAATCCATTCTCTGGATACTTTTCGACACTGGAGTAAATCACAAACTAATGAAATCATCTACAAGCAGATATTTTTTCAACATAGAAAAATATAGGAAATATATCCCTTATATACAACGACGGATCAAAATCCCAGGATCAAGTTGGCGCTGCTTTCGTCACAGAAAAAACAATAGTAGGGGTTCGATTACATACAGTTTGCTCTGTGCTTACTTCTGAGCTTACTGCAATCCATCTGGCTTTGACTTACCTTTCAAAACAAAAGTACATAAAATTTATTATCTACACAGATTCCATGAGTGCCTTAATGTCATTGAAAAATCACGCTCAATGTACTCATCCAGTTGCAATCAGAATCCTGAAGTTGAATCATTCTTTAAAAATTCGGGGATACCAGATTCTATATTCGTGGATCCCTGGACACGTTGCCATTAAGGAGAAGAATGAATGGCGGATATTGCAGCTAAAACTGCAACCACAATGTACAATCTTCAGATTCCACTAGCAGACATCAAAGGGTTTGTCAAAAGCAAAATCCTCAGCAAATGGCAGAAGCAATGGGATGACAAAGTATATAACAAGCTGAGAAATGTAAACCCACCATTGGATACTGGCCATGTATGGC